TTATGTCCCTCTAAAATTCCTACTTGTTGAAATTGTTACTTCCAAGATTTTAGGAGGTGGGATCTTTGGGAGGTGATAAGGTCATGTGAGTTGAATCTTTATGAACCAGAATTAGTTCCCCAATAAAAGAAGCCCAAGAGAGACCCTTTCCCCCTGCCACTATGTGAGAACACAATGAGATGGCATGGTCTGTAAGTCAGAAAGCAGGCTCTCACCAGACACTGAATCTGGCTTGATTCTGGACTTCCCAGCCTCCAGAAATGTGAGAAATAAATTTCAGTTGCTTATAAGCCACCCAGTTCATGGTATTTCGTTAGAGCAGCCAGTTCAAATGGACCTAAGAAAGAAACTATTTAGTCAAAGTCCTTTATCTGATAAATAAGGAAAATGAGACTCTGGGTCACAAGGCTATTTTATGGCAGAAAGACCAGAACATTGAGATTCTGTTACTTCTTCATTATACTACATTTTAAGAAAATAAAATTATCGTAAATTTCTTAAAATTCAGAGGCGCTGTTTTTTTCTTCTTCTGTGTATTTATTTCTTCAGAGGATATGCATCAAATTAGTATATTTCTTTGGCTGATAAGTGCTCATCAAGCTCTGCCCATTTACTCATTTATTCTGCATGCTTGATTTTTTTCCCCAAAGGTCATTAAAAAAAACTATTTTTAAGCATTCTTAAACAGCCTAAGAAAACACTTTACCCTGAAAGTGAATAGAGAATACATGTGCTTATTACTAAAGCAAAGACTATGCTTACCAACCCACCATTGTTAGTGAGAATTTAGAATCTTGGCTGACCTCTTACAGAGGTAAAAATCCACCCTTGGTGGGAACAGCTGCGACTGTGAAAGAAGCTACAAATAACATGCTGGGAATTCAGCAGGCACTGTTATTATATCCTGTTTATACTGTCATTTTTTCTATCAGTAGGATATTATTTATACAGACCCCACCCATGAACTTCTTGTTTATCTTATTATAGAAATCCTCTGAATCTATAAAAAGAAACTTCTGTATTTGTTTCTGGAACAAGCACATGTGTTATAATTTTGCACCTCATTACACTTTTTATTTAGCATTTTCTTTTGTTATGCACCACTCGTTCTCATTTTTATCTCAAGGTTGACTTATTTCACATATTAGAGTTGAACTTAAATCTTTTTAAGATAACTTGTTATAAGATTCAGGATAACCACATCCTAAACCTTAAGGTACATTTCATTAGGTACATATTCTTTGAAGATACACTTGACTAATTTGTTTAAAGACAAAAAAATATGTATATACACCGATGAGGTACTGCAGGGAGTGAGCTCTAGGTGACCAGAAGGCTTCCATACTCAGGTTCACTCTAACCTAAGTGGACCAATTATGCGGACAAGGCTTTATTCAGTTCTACCACCTCACTATTCTCTAGCTGGATCTCTTCTCTGCAATGAGAAGCCTTGCCCCTGAGTTTAGCTTGATGGCTGGGCAGTCTGGGTAAAAAAATGTTAACACAATAATACACAAAAAACATAGGAGTTCAGTAAACTGACCAATAGGACAACGAACCAATATGGTTATCAATCATCCTCATTCCCCAGGCCTGATAGAAACAACTGAAGTAGATAAAGGAAAAATGCAAGTTCCTTAACGGCAAAAATTCACACAGCATTTGTCGAGCAAATGAATTATTATTTCTGGAGAGGGCACACCACTGAAGAAAGTCACACTGGACAAATTTTCACATGTATAGCTTGTGTCAGCATCACCAGTTCTCCTCTTATACTATAAGGTGGGGAGGTAAACATGGAATGTTCAGAGTACATGCACAATGCTAGACTCTTTGTGTAAGGAAAGGTCACTCTTGAAGAACACTGCTCTAAAATGCATAACTAAAATGAGTACTAAACCTCAGGGTGATGAACTAAGTGTAATTCATTTCAGAAAAAAAGAAAGGTCTGTAAGGACTAAATTGGTCAAGAAGTTAAAATGAGGGTAACAACTGAGATAATCTTGATAAACAGAAGTTCATAAGGCTGGGATGAGGAGGTGAAAGATATCTTTGGCACAAACAAAACTTCGGAAGCATCCAACTGAGCAGAATTCTGGGAATGGCAAACAGTGAAATTCAGCTGGGGGCATACTGAATAGAGGATGGCAACAAAAGAGAAGACTGGAGTCAGATTACAAGAAATTTCATTTTTTAGACAATGGAGAATCATCAAAAGGTATCTGATCAAGGGAAGAGGAACCCAAGCTTTTGGAGTAGAAATGAAGAGGAGGAAGAACAAGTTGGGGTGAGGCTGAAAGGGGGAAATAAGTTTGTAACACCACCAAATCCCATAGTTATGGCAGCAAAAGAAAGGTCCATGTGGTACAATAGATAATAAATGTGTAACTGTATTTTCAGTTCTTGCTTGCAAAAACAGAAGATGATGGTCGGGTGTGGTGGCTCATACCTGTAATCCCAGGAGATCAAGACCAGCCTGAGCAACATGGTGAAACCTCATCTCTACAGAAAGTAAAAAATAGGCTGGGCATGGTGGCTCATGTCTGTAATCACAGCACTTTGGTAGGCCGAAGTGGGTGGATCACCTGAGCTCAGGAGTTCAACACCAGCCTGGCCAATATGGTGAAACCCTACCTACACTAAAAACACAAAAAATAACCAGGCATGGTAGTGGGCGCCTGTAATCCCAGGTACTTGGGAGGCTGAGGCAGGAGAATCACTTGAACCTAGGAGGCGGAGGTTGCAGTGAGCTGAGATCACACCATTGCACTCTAGCCTGGGCGACAGAGCAAGATTCCATCTCAAAAAAAAGAAAAAGTGAAAAATAAAAATTAGCCAGGTGTGGTGGTGCACAACTGTAGTACCAGCTACTCAGGAGGCTGATACGGGAAGATCACTGGAGCCTAGGAGGTGGATGCTGCAGTGAGCCATGATCACCGGCCACTGCACTCCAGCCTCGGGAACAGAGCAAGACCCTGTCTCAAACAAAACCAAAAACAAACAAACAAACAAACAAAAACAAAAATAAAAACAGGGGATGGCATCATGATGACCATTACTGAGTGAGGTAATGTTAAAGAATGCCAATCCACTGAAGTTAAAGTCAGTAAAGTTTACCAGTCTCCTAGAATAGCATTTCTCAAACTGAAATCACCTGGGCTTGTGGTTAAAATGTAAATTATGTTTCAGCACATTTAGAGCAGTATTCAGTATTTCTACAATTCTAACAAGCTCCCAGGTGATGCCAAAAACGCTGTTCCATGTACTATATTTTGAATAGCAAGATGGGAAAACATATCTTTCAGTTTCCCTTTCCAAAAAAGCAATACTATATTTAATGCATCATGTTTAACCCATTATGGTTTATCCAATGCCTTTAGATACGTTCAAGAAAGCTTTTTAAAGGTATGTTACTATGGTTTGTATTAACTAAGGTTGGATGGGTTTCAAAGCTACTATTTTAAAAGTCCTAAATGATTCAAGATTCAGGGAATTCAACACACTAAGAAATGCTTCTACCTAAAAAAAAAAAAAATCAACATTGCAATGCTATTCTGTAACACTAAAATTTTGTCTTTTTAGTTTTAGGCTGGCAAACTGGAAGATACTATTGCTTCTAGTAATGGAGGCTGAAATGTAAGTACTGAAAGACAACATTTTATCTTTTCAAAGTCCAGATCAGTGAGTTTCACTAAAACCTGCTTGACTTGTCCTTACATTGCATTAAGCACCATAACTTGGTCCTTGAAGATAAAGGTTAACATATTTTAAATATCCTATAGAAAAACACCTAAATACTACAACAACTAAAGTAACACACTATCCTTTGGTATAAGACTTCTACACCGAAGGATACCTTTAATTAAAGTATTTTACCATAAACAGAAGTGTCGTTTATAAAAATATATTACTAGTGTAATATATTAAACACACACACACACTATAAAAGATTGGCTGACCTTAGATACTTGGGATGAAATGTAAGACTTCTAAACTCTGGAGTTTCATTTTTAACAAAATTAATGGCCAGTAACAACCTTTTAGGTAAATTAGTTCCAATATGTATCATGGTCTGGAGAACAGAAATAATATTTTTAAATCGTAAGTTATTGTTGAAGATCAGATCCAAGTATTTCATTGTAGAAGGAAGAAAACGGAGGCACAGAGGTTAAAAAGCCCAAATTCACATAGCCAGCTAGTAGAATGTTAATAAAAGGAGGGGAGAATTAATTTTTATATCTATCAATATACAAAGTATAACAACGTTGCAACTACAAAATGTACTTGAAAGAGTGTCCGGTTCTTCTAATGACTAAGGCCCAGTTAATTTTTTAAGGATCTTATAAATCACTGAGATCTAAGAAAGGAAGTTCACACATTAACAAACAAAAGACATCTGCCCCCAAATTTAAGAACTTCATTAAAAAATGCAATCTGAATAGAGAATGACAAAATACACCACATACTAAGGATGGGGCTTGGGTGGGGGTGGAGAATGGGATGGGATATAAAGAACAAAGAGAAGACAATGGTAACTCTTCTCAGTAATGTTTCAAGGAATGCTTTTACATATGCAAAAGTGGTTTAAAAAACAACTTTCTTTACCCTCATGAATCATTTTTTTAACTGGTATAATCAGGGATTATATTTGGAGGACTACAAAGCTTTTAAAAATATATAGTATAGAAAGCAGTTGAATGTGCATGTGTTATACACTCTGTTACAATCAAAAGCAAACTATAGGAACCTTTTTTAGCCACAAAATAGGGAATTTTGTGCTTATTACAAATGCTATAAAGTTTACTAGCACAAGTCAAAAAAAATCACTAGAGAAGTTCGGTGATATTCGAGACAATGGGTTTTAAATCACAGGCATACATAATTATGCCTAAGTTGACAGATCTGCACTGCAATGCAGAAATGCAAGCATTATTCCAACATCTGCACCAGAAGGCAGAGACTAGACATGATTCCAGAATAAAGGGCTCTTCAGCTCTTACCTGTTACCTGTGCAACAACTGCTTGGGAAATCCTCCGATTGGCAAGAAAGGCTTTGATTTCCTCTTTTATCACACTGCTGTCCCTCCTAACAAAAACAGAAGACAAGACCAACAATGTATGTTGAAGGTAGAAATCCTCATCTTTGCTAAAAGAAAGGTGAAGCAGAGAGGTGGGGAGAACACAGAAAGGACACAAAAATAAAGGGTAAACAGACCAAACTTGTGTGAAAATATGAAATTACAATGAACCAAGAAACACCAAATATTCAAGTCCTAAAACATCACACCATCAGACAGACGCTTTAGTGAAGACCATAATAGATATAAGTCTCATACCAGAGGATGGTTAATCGCATGCTCTGTATAATTCATATTAGGAACAAGGCTGTCATATGGTATATACAAAGTTTCATTACTGGGGAATGAATGTATCTTACAGAGACAGAAATCCTAGAAAAATAAAGAGCAACAACAACAAATTCAGTTGTGAGCAGACTGTGGGCTTGCATGTTAACTACACAACTGCATGAACAATGTTCATTTAAAAACCTTTATAATGATTAAGGAAAAAGAAATCATCGTTCCCACAACTGTAAAAATGTTAGCCATTTGAAGAAAGGCTTGCCCTTTAACTTCTTTTCCTGTATAAACAAAAAAAGTGGGATCGGTTGAATATAAAGTTTTAGTATTAAAAAGGCATTTATTCATTTTGTATTATATATAAGAATACTTAAAACTACACAATATTCTGTGTCCTTGGGAATACATTATAGACCTCATTTTTCCTCCACTAAAATGCTTGTTCCAAATTTTTACTTAAAGACTCAACAAATTCTCAAAAGACCAGACATTCACAAAAATAACAATGAGTGGCAAGACTTCTGTTATTTCACCAGAACAAGAATTAATAAACAAAAATTATAGTTAAACCCTTAAAACTGACCAATCTCTCTTTCAATGCTTTATCTTCAAAAGGATTACATAAATAGAGCAGTGGTTTCTGTTCAAGCTCAAAAGTAACACAGAATAGAGGTAACTTCTTATCTAACACAGGGGTCAGCAAATTACAGCCTATGGGCTAATTCTAGCCTGCCACCTATTTTTACACAACCTGTGAGCTAAGGATCATTTTCAGAGATGGACATTTGCAATTGATTTGATGACAGAAAATGCAAACGATAAACACAAACTAAGCAAAATATTATCCCTTCCCCTGCAATTTCACTCTTCTGACTAGTAGGCCTATATTTTTAAAAACTCTACCCAATTATTATTATTCTGTATTGACTTTTGTCAATAAAAATTTGTGGCTGTTTGTTTTCTGTCTTGTATGTGGCTCTACATGATATACTTTTTTTTTTTGAGACGGAGTCTCACTCTGTTGCCCAGGCTGCAGTGCAGTGGCACGATCTCAGCTCACTGCAACCTCCACCTCCCGGGCGCAAGCAATTCTCCTGCAGCCTTCTGAGTAGCTGGGGTTATAGGCATGCAGCACCACACCCGGCTAATTTTTGTATTTTTAGTAGAGTCAGGGTTTCACCATGTTGGTTGGCCAGGTTGGTCTTGAATTCCTAACCTCAAGTGATATTCCTGCCTTGGCCTCCCAAAGTGCTGGTAACACAGGCGTGAGCAACCGCACCCAGCCTATGTCTCTTCATTATATCCTTAAATTTGCCTCTTGGCCACAAAGTCTAAAATTTTTACTCTCTAGTCCTTTAGAGAAGAAGTTTGCTGACCCCTGATCTGAGACAAAGGATCACAAAACCTTAATAATTGTTTTGTGAAAGAACCACAAACTCTTTTCAGGGGTTCACATTTCTCTGTAGACTATTTGGAGGAACTTAAATATCCTATCCAAAAACAGTGAGTTGTGATTTAACTTGGATGAGGGATTTTAGCTCCCTGATGAGTAGTTGTTACATGCTCTGTTGTAAGGACTCTGTTGTAAGACCATGCTCCCTTTGGGGAATTCTGGAAAAAAACAGAGAGGTGATAGTGGTGAGTTTCCAATCTGTAGCTCTATAGTATACTGCTGATTTATCAGTTGGAAATCCTAATCAAAAATATTCTTAAAGGAAAAAAATAATCAGCTGCCTAATGCAGTATTTAAATTTTCTCATACTGATCTAGATTCTGGTTAGATTCTTCCCAAAATGCCTGTCTATATTTGAAATATTTCTTTTTTTTTTTTTTGGAGACAGTCTCGCTCAATCGCCCAGGCTAGAGTGCAGTGGTGCAATCTCAGCTCACTGCAAGCTCCGCCTCCCGGGTTCACGCCATCCTCCTGCCTCAGCCTCCCAACTCACTGGGACTACAGGTGTCTGCCATTACGCCAGGCTAATTTGTGTGTGTGTGTGTGTGTGTGTGTGTATTTTTAGTAGAGATGGGGTTTCACTATGTTAGCCAGGATGGTCTCAATCTTCTGACCTTGTGATCCACCCATCTCAGCCTCCCAAAGTGCTGGGATTACAGGCGTGAGCCACTGCGCCCAGCCTGAAATATTTCTTTGAAAAATACGCATTCACATTTTATTTAAAAATTGTGTATACGAAAAAGAAAAAGGTACAAATAAATATATTTTAAAGTCAAACAAAATAATTGCTGACTAAAATGCAGGTAATGTAAAACAAAAGCTTTCAAATATGCATCGATAATCAGTGTGCAAGAGATAACTTCAGCACTATTTCAATTGGCTTATATAAACAAAACAAATCATTTGGTTTCTAATATAACTATAAAATTAATCTGAAAATTTTTAAATACAGTATTGCATTTCTATATATAGAATGATCTTCTAGGAAAATGAAGCTGAATTTAAAAGAATATTTGTTCAGGTTAAATAAAAAAATGTACCTTTGTGGGGGAAAGAATTCAATAGGTTTCTTGACTAATTTACATTGATATTTAAATCAATTTATTTCAAATCAAATTCATTTAGACACTAAATCATACAGAAGAGATAACCCTCAATTATTGAAATAGGAAATATCCAGTTTGTAAATTATTCACAGCCTTGCAGCATGATATTATTAAGGACTGCACAAGACAGAAGGAATCCCAAAAATCTGTCAAACAGTAGCAATTTTCATTTTTAGATATTTGACAAGTTTCTAAGTATCAATAATGTTTAAAAACATAGAAATAGACAGACACGGTGGGTCACGCCTGTAATCCCAGGACTCTGGGAGGCTGAGGCAGGCGGATCATTTGAGGTCAGGAGTTCAAGATCAGCCTGGCCAACATGGTGAGACCTCGTCTCTACCAAAAATATTTAACAAATAGTTAAAAAAAAAATTTAACAAATAGATGTGGTGGCATGTGCCTGTAATACCAGCTACTCAGGAGGCGGAGGCAGGAGAATTGCTTGAACCCCAGAGGCGGAGGTTGTAGTGAGCCAAAAACGTGCCACTGCACTCCAACCTCGGTGACAGAGCAAGACTCCATCTCAAAAAAAAAAAAAAAAGAAAAAACTCTTTACTGCTTTACCAGAGAGCTTTTTCAAAAAGCAAAAGAAAAGACTTAAAAGATAAGGATGTGCAAGGGCAAGACATTTAACAAAGCTGGGCCCTGGCTGTATCATCTGATAAAATAAAAGCATTGGCCTGGTACAGTGGCTCACTCCTGTAATCCCAGTTACTTGGGAGTCTGAGACATGAGAATTGCTTGAAACCAGGAGGTGGATGTTGCAGTGAGCCAAGATTGCGCCACTGGGCAACAAAGTGGGACTCCATCTAACAACAACAACAACAAAAAGCATCAATACTCCCTTCGCAAGGCTTTTAAAATTTGTCTCCTAGCAATGAAATTAAATATTGTGTGTATACATATGTCTGTAATACATAGAATCAAAAATTCATTGCAAAATTTTTTTTGAAATTATAAAAATACTGAACATTGACTATTATTTTATAAAACTTCAGAAAGGTTCCCAAGAAAAGAAGAAACAAATGATCTGCTGTAATCATATAAGACCAAAGTAAACATCTGTACCAGGTACTTTAAGGTAGCATTAAAAGAATTCTATACACAAGCAGTGATGTGTCATTTAGTTGGTTTCACTAGGTATTTTCAAAATACTAAACACATTCTATTTTCATTGTGTCCAATTCTCTTAAATATTTTTAAAAGTTCCATTCTAGTGGGTTAGCTTTGTTGTTCAAACTTTGACATCACCCCCTTCCCTCATTCTCTCCTCATTCAGCCTTCTTTAAGGACCTGCTACTCCTATTGTCCTCATTGTAATCTAAGAAATCACCACTTTGTTAGTGTAAAAACTTCATTTACTCTAAATCTAATTATCTCATCTTCTCCCACCCCTCACTTCCTCTCTTCATCTGCAATTTTACATCCTCCTTAAAAAGAATAAATCCCCTCCTTCCTCTCTTATAAAATCTCATACTCTTCAAGATTTCTATGCTTCAAGTCTTATGGAATTAAAGTGAAGAGCAGGCTGATCTTGTCTTTCATTCCACAGCTTACTTACTTCAAGATAAGATACCCCACCTGACTTGTAGCTAACCAGTTCAAGTCCATGTCATTGCCTCCTACTTCCCTTTTGAAATCATTGCCATGCTAGATTCATCTGGTGATTTCCACGCCAGGATGAAATTCTTCCTTCCCACCCTCCATTGCCATTATTTTTATAATTTGCTAAACTTTCACTGTTACTTACAGACCTTTCTTAATATCTGGATGAATTCATCAGTAATGCCTCTTTGTGGAATCCCCTTTTACTAAGACACAATTTAACTGTCATCTATTCAAAGAAGTTCTCCCTGATCTTCACAGCTAAAAAAGGTATCTTCTTGCAATGGCTAACTTTAACATTTCAATACTACTACTCACATGCTAATATATTACAGCTGTTCTGTATTATGGTTGTTTCTAATCTTGTCTTATCTCTCCTACTACGCTGTAAAGTCCTTAGTCCTTTAGCACAAAGATTGTGCCTTATTCATTTATGGGGTTTGCATATAATAGAGCTTAATTTGTTCAATGAATGAACAATTCTGTAGTTGGAGATAAAAGGTTGTAAAATGGAAAGCCCGATCTAGATAATTTATAAAACAGCTTTAAATTTTTATTCTCAAATAGATTTAAGCTTACCAAATCAGAAAGGAAAAGAATTATTTATAGTAGTTTGAAATGACATTGCTTCCTTTTCTAGAACAAAGAATAATAAAGACCACCTGTTTTAAAAATGATATGCTTTAAGATCTTCCATATTTTCATAGTTAATATACACTGCACATTTTTTATGATCTCTGAAAGGTAATCATCTATCTGAAAGACTTCCAGAGATGAAGCAACACCTGCCAAGACAGACTATTTCACACTTGGAAAAATACAATGATGTACAAATTTCTTTCACATTTGAATAAAACCTATCCCCATACATTTTTACCCATGGAGACAAAGTATAACTTTAAATTTTAAAAATTCACTCAAAAATAAAAGTTACTATATACGTATCAATAACATAGTAACTGGATATCAAGACCATTTTGTCTTATCTACAGAACATGCACATCCTACCTATGCAAGTAAAATACTTAGCCTATAGATAACCAACTTAGAATAAAGCCTCAGTTTTATACAAAATACTAACATATCATAAAATTTAGTACATGGGTGGTTAAGAATAATATATTTAATGTATGGCATTATTAACAAATTCTGATAAGCTTCATTTAAATTATATCATAATATGTACATAAAACACACAGTAGTATCTATACACTATATTAGCAGATGTGTATACACACATACCCCTACACATATATTTATATATTAATAGATGTATTTTTAAACATTAATATGTAAAACAGTTCTTTATTTCTGGCTTTAAAGTCCTTCCTAAAATGTTATATTCAACAATCTGTTAAATTCATATCCTAGTTTACCTTTATTTTTTTAACCCTAACTCAAAACGAAAAAAGTGAAAGCTACTTTCTCACTGTTTCTTAATGAGTTGATAAGGTGTACAATTATAACTTGATAAAGTTATACAAAAAAATCTCCATTATGGGCTGGGCACGGTGGCTCATGCCTGTAATCCCAGCACTTTGGGAGGCCGAAGTGGGAGGATCACTTGAGGCCAGGAGTTCGAGACCAGCCTGGTCAACATAGTGAAATCCCGTCTGTACTAAAAATACAAAAATTAGCTGGGGGTGGTGGTGCACACTGTAATACCAGCTACTAGGGAGCCTGAGACATGAGAATCACTTGAACCTGGGAGGCAGAAGTTGCAGTGAGCCCAGATTGCACCACTGCACTCCAGCCTGGTTGACAGAGTGAGACTCTGTCTCAAAAAAAAAAAAAAAAAAAAAAAAATCTCCATTATGTATCTTGAAATTTTTAGGAGTGAAATTTGTAAAGTGAATGAATTATAAGATTTTTAAAACCACATCTTATGTTTGAGTTGAGGAATGTGAAAAAGCAAGAGGTGAAGCACACAGGTAGAAAAGGAGACAGGAAAGCATTCAGATATCCAAGCTCCCCCACCAGAGACCACCACTTCCAGCGGGCTATATCACCATAGCATCTAGTGATCAGCAAGGGCAGTATATTCCTAAAAGAGCACAGAATACTCAGAAAGATCCACCGCTCAAAATATTTCTCTAACATTCCACTAAATAAAAATTCACGTGGTAAGTGATTGTATTGAAGCAGCAAATATCATGGGGGAGGGGGATGCGAAGCCCATTAAGGCAATTCATACTTTGTCTTATGTTAATTAACCACCTTTCCTAAAATCTCATTAAAATCTACAGACATGAAAAATTTATTTGGAGAGGCAATGTACACCAGTGATATACTGATAATAAAGACATAATTTAGGTTCTGCCACTTAATATTGAAGTTCTCTTGAGCAAAGTATTTAATTTTTGTGAATCTCAGTTTCTCTGATCAACCTCACATCATGATTTTAATAAGTGACAATGTCATCCAATAAACTTTCCCACTGATCCAAGGATTGTTATTATCTACAACCTGAGAAGCGTAAGAGAGGGACACAATGGAGGAAAGTAGGAGTGCAACAGTGGGTGAGGGTGCAATGGCAGAGAACCAGAGAGATCTAGAAGGACCACTGAGACCCCAAGATGATCAAGAGAACCCAAAGGAGCAGTTCTAATAAAGAAGCAGAGAAATGGAAAAAGATCAAGTGTCCTGATTAAGCGACAAGTGGTAGTACATAAATACTGATAACAAAGTATAAACCTGTATATATTTCACAGTGAAACTGGAATGGGTGTAGTTACAGGATTTAACTACAAATCCCAGTCATTGCTAAATAGGTTTTCGTTTAGTTTGAGCATATATTTGAATTAAAACATCATGCCAATCTATGAGTTAAAAGTCAAGTTTTTAGACCTTTATTTTTCCAAACAATCTTCTAGAAACTTTTACTAACGAGCTTTCCCATACTTCTTGTTAGTCTTATACACGTTTAAGAATTAACTGTTATGTCAAAAGCTTATCAAAACTGATGAACAGCAACACCACCGAAAAAACCAGGTTGGCATCCTTTTTAAATTTTTGATATCCTCCCTACTCAGAATAATTAAAAGCTAATCTTGTTATGTTTCAATGAGTGAAGTAACTTTTATTTGCCCAAATGGTTTTCCCTCTTAATCTTAACAACGTTAAATTCAAAAGCAACACCTGAACTTTGGTCACTTACTTTAACACATGAAAAAGAATTCAAACTCAAACTGATCTCTTTTATTTTCAACTTTTAAAAAAATTAGCTGAGCGTGGTGGCACATGCCTGCAGTCCCAGCTACTCGGGAGGCTAAAGCAGGAGAATCACTTCAGCCCAGGAGGCAGAGGTTGCAATGAGCCGAGATCACACCACTGCACTTCAGCCTGGGTGACAGAGCAAGACTCTGTCTCAAAAAAACAAAACAAAACAAAACAATGACTTGTAACTGTAACTGCTGTATCATATTATTCATTACAGGTATTAATATTATACTTTATTTATACTGTATCTGGAATCCAGATAAAATAGTTGATTTAGCACAGAATTTCATATAATAAAGATCTACCTAAAAATAAATTCAGGACAGTTTGAAAGATATTTCAACATTGTGGTACTAGTGGACAGATCTTCCAAGTGGCAATATTATGTGTCACTACTATTCCATCTTGAAGTTTAAAAATCTTTAGGAAGAATTATAATGATACTTATAGGTACTATTTTTATTTCTGACAAATTCCTGCTACAGTTTCTTTCATTATCTACTGTAGCTAATTTATTTGCAGGCTCTTTCCCTTCTATGGTAGTGGAAATCTACTGAAAACAATACCTTTATCATCTCTATTCCTAGAGGAGTTTTTACAAAACTCCTCAATTCCAACAAAAGTAAATAAACTAGTATGAACTCAAAGTCTCCCAAAACCTGTATTGTTTCCTAATATATTATTCTTGTTACATTGTCTTACCCGTCAGTAATTTTTATCAGACTGAAGACACGCCTTGCCTTTTCTACCCTTTACTATTCCCTTAATTTTAAATAAAGTTCCTGTATTTTAAAAACAAATGCTATTCTTTACCATTTAGGTCAAGGTTACCCATTCATTAAACATATTAGGCCCTTACCATGTGCCAGGGAAAGTTCCAGATCCTGGAGGCACAATAATGGAAAACACATGGTGTTACCCTCAAAGCGTCCCAGGGTCCAGTGTGAAGCCTTTCCTAATTATCTCTGTTGAAAGTAGATTTCTTGTGGGCCGGGCTTGGTGGCTCACGCCTGTAATCCCAGCACTTTGGGAGGCTGAGGCAGATGGATCACCTGAGATCAGGGGTTCGAGACCAGCCTGATCAACATGGAGAAACCCCATCTCTACTAAAAATACAAAAGAGCTGGGCGTGGTGGTGCATGCCTGTAATCCCAGCTACTCGGGGGGCTGAGACAGGAGAATTGCTTGAACCTGGGAGGCGGAGACTGAGGTGACCTGAGATGGCGCCATTGCACTCCAGCCTGGGCATACAGAGCAAGACTCCATCTCAAAAAAAAAAAGTAGATTTCTTTTCTCAGTGTTTAAAACTCTAAGAGTTCTTACATTTATAAGACAATGTGTGTATATGTGTGTGTGAGTGTGTGTGTCATCTATTGCTAAAATTAGAACCTATATAATAGGTACCCCAAATTATTTTCTTGATTAGAATGTTGGAGAGAAAAATTAAGAGTGTATATATTCTGTATCAAGATAAAATTATCCCTCAGAAAAAGTACTTACTACAGATTTCAAGATTAGAATGTGTGTGTTAGTCAGAAATAAGCTATTAGAGTCATAGAGAAGATTAGTGTTTGATAAACAGAGAATGGAAAAGACTTATCAAGCAGCAAAGAGAAAGGACTGAAGTAAAGAAGAGAAAATTTAAATTAAAAACATAAAGCTTGAACTTCCTTTCATCTCCAAAGGTGGGAGAAGGAAGTTACAGTTCTTATAGCTAAGTAGCTGAAATGCAGCATACTACTTAAAAACAATCTAAGAATACAGATGTTTCTAGGGACTCTGAATAAGCAAAGTCACTAACCTCATTAATTCTTCCACTTTATCATCTACATCTAGGTCCTCTTCTGAGGCTTCAAAACTGTATGACCTCTGACCCATGCTGTTTGCATGGTAGCGAGTTGGTGACATCTTTCCATTGGATGTAGATAATCGCTCATTATTCTCCCTCCCATTTTGATTGGTAGTGCAAGGCTGTGGGGAAGTATCATAACTGTTGCTAGGTGATGGGGACATTCCCGAATGCTGCGTCTGTGTGGAAGCTGTAGCTGTAGAGGAAGATGCTGGGACATTGTTGGTACTATTCCCATATGAACTTCCTCCATAGCTGGACCTTCTTCCAAACTTGTCACTATGCTCTTGATCAAGACGGTCCAAAGTTTCCAAGGCATGGAGAATTTCATGTTTAGTCATTCCAGTACGCCGAAGTCGCTGAAGCAGATCTATCTGCTCTATGGTAAATCTGGGTTCATCTGTATAATGAGACATGGTTTCCAGCAAACTAAAAAAAAAAAAAAAGATAAAAAGAAGTCTCTTTATTGACAGTATCTACCAAAGCACATATCATTAGAGAATGTTCAGAAGATGCAGTATTTCTACACAAGCTTCTTTATTGAAAATGAAAGCATGTCCCATGCTAGAATGATTGTGCCATGGCAAATGGATTGGTACAGATACTAAATGTGTTAGTAGGTGAACATAGGTGTAACATAAAACCTAATTTCATATGGCATACAATTTACATTTTCCTCAATTTTGGAAAATATCAGAACCAAAATTTTAGTTATGTAAATAATACCAAAACAACAGATTAGGTACATGGAATGCATTAAACCCAGGCTATGTGATAACTCAGAAGTGTTTTGCCCATCTCAAGTGTATTACTCTACATTAGAGTATTAATGGAAAATTGCTGAAAAAATAGTTTGTATTATATTATTTACCAACTATTAGCTACACAGACCTAGGAATTCTCTACAACCTCATTTAGTGAAAACAAATGATTTGCTAAGCTAAGTCTAAGCAAATGCTAATAACCAGCAAAAATATTTAAGTGGAAAAGAGAGGTACATTTAAAAAAAAAAAAAAAAAAGCACCATTTCATTCACTACTTAGCAATTTCCTAAGTTTTTCATCTCTGGTAATGCATTCTCTCTTAATAGCTACCCTGAGAAAGATCTTTCGTGGTTGTAGCCAGACAATGCTATTCATTTTTCTTAGGAAATTACTTTTACATGTTTCCTTTAACTAGCACAAGATACTGCAGCATATCAGAAAATGTTTTCTTAGGGTGAATAACAATATTAAGAGAGTAGTCAAATACCGTAAAAATTCTCACTGCTTGAATTCCTTTGTTGTTGTTGTTGTTTTGGACACAGAGTTTCGCTCTTGTCACCCAGGCTGGAGTGCAGTGGCGCAGCCTTGGGTCACTGCGACCTGCACCACCTGGGTTCAACCTGCCTCAACCTCCTGAGTAGCTGGGATTACAGGCACCTGCCACCAAGCCTGGCTACTTTTGTATTTTTAGTAGAGATGGGGTTTCAACATGTTGGTCAGGCTGGTCTCAAACTCCTGACCTCAGGTGATTCGCCCACCTCAGCCTCCCAAAGTGCTGGGATTACAGGTGTGAGCCACCATGCTCAGCCTTGAATTACTTTCTTATAAGACCTGACTTTCCCATTCAAGATTTTTTGAAGTGGTAATCTCTTTTATTTTGATATTTATTGTTCTAGTGCCAAATATAATGCATGGTATGCATAGGCTCTCAATAAGTGTTTGCAGATGGAAATAGATGTCAAGAAGTTTTTTCATCTTTCTCAAACAAACATCTGCTCTGGGCCAGTGCCCCACAGCTATTGAAAGTTTCACTGTTTCTTTGTCCTTCTACACAAAAACTTTATTGAACAGTCACTTCTAGGCAGGTATTGGGTAAGAGTTTCACACATAACATAATCTCATCCAATTCTCACAGCAACTCTCGTGGTAGATGTTCTTTATTCATTTCATTTTATGTTGATGGATTGATTGTTGAGGAAACTAAGGCTCAGAGTAGTTTTATACCTTACAAAAAATCTGAGTAAACATTAGGAAAAAGATTTAAGCTTAGATCTTATTGACTCCAAAAGCACACATCATTCTCCTTTACAATACCTTGCAGGACTTAACTGGAAACATATGATATGGGACACAGGCTATTCTACTCCTTTAAGTCTCATTTAAAGCCATTTAGATAAAACTACTCTAATTACTGATGAACCTAGGGGTCCTAGTAATAGTTTTCTACATTTAAAATCTTTGCTCCATCTAGAATTTTTATTGACTTAATAAGTATAAAAAATTGGGGTTTTATTTCATCCCAAATGGACAGATAGATGTCGTATGTTTTTATTGAATATCTGTCTTCTCCTCTGATGTGAAATGCTGCCTTTATCATATACACAATTTCCATATGAATCTATATTACCTTTGGATAGTCTATTCCATTTTACTGATTGTTTTATCTTTCAAATTCTTTTAAAAATAAGTAGGCAGAAATCTAGAACTTTAGATGAAATCTCCCTAGTTTTAAAAACAAGCTCATTAAAATAAAACACAACCAAACACACATATTCTGTGTACCCAAACATGTTGCAGGCCATTTGTGCCCACGGGCCACAGTATCTGACCTACACCTACAAATGTTATGGTCTGATTTCCTCCGATACTCACTTGTAACAAGCTAGGCATCATTTTAAAAAGACCTATTTTCATGATTAGTATATTCTTTCTTGATGGCCTAAGTTCCCCCCACAATATTTTGTAATGAAAAATACTAAACATAAACATTATTATTTTCCCTTGAAAATGAAGTAGACCTGTTTGTTGCTATCTTCAGCCTTCATGTTATCAAAGTATTTCATAAAGTGATCTTACTTTAGATGACTTCAATAACTGTTTTATTATATGGACAAAAATTCCCAATCATAGTATTTTCCTACAGTATTCACATCAGAGCAGTTAGTTATCTGTATACAGTTCTTCAAACTATTCCTGGTATGGAGCAGCACTCTGTATTAGCATAAAACAAAAGTAAGTTATATGACTTTCACTTATTACTGAAAAGTATCCATCCTAACACTTGAATTAGAATTGTCAAAACTAAAGATTTCACAGCATATAAAACAATCTAATATTTTATGTCATTTCAGATTCATTGACTATTAGAACCACTTTTATTCCAAGTCATAAAAGGAGAAACAATAGGCCACCTATTACTTTGTCTGCCTAGAACACCTCATTGTTTTCAAGCACATGTTCTTGGGCTATCACTCATAATACCCCACCTTCTGGCCAGTGGGGTGGGCGCACAAGAAAGCCAAACCTTGCTCTCCCCACAATTTTCTAGTCAGACAAGGAGAAAGATGAACAGTCACTATAACTGTGCTCGGTTTCAGGAAGATATTAGTCTGGTAAATTCCTTATTATACGGAAGCAGCTAGTTCATGGGAAGATGAAGCGGACATACCAAGAAACTTAGAACAGACCAATGGCAAAAGCTGTGCAGTGCTCATATCCCTTGTTCCAATAATCCCTAAGCCCCTGATACATCCCTGCTCTTCTTGCTGTTTTGTTTCATCAGAGAATACATTTCCCTTTATGTATCACCTTGTTCAAATTAGATGTCTGTGCCCTGCACTGAGAGGTCCCTAATGCAAACATAACCTAAAGCAAAATGATCCACAATTGCTAGAATGATCATTCATATGATCACTACAAAGCAAAATGATTAAGAGCATAACAAACAAGATCAAAGCATGCATGTGACACTGAAGATACGATATTTTACTGAGAAAACGCTGACACTAGAAGCTCTCCTGGATATTGAGAATAATGTTCCAATGTGTACTAATATAAACAAAGGCATATACACTGGCATTTCAAAATTTTATTTCTCATAATTTACCTAGTTTAAGCACATAATCATGAATTTATGGCAGTAAATGACCTACAAAGGTCATCTAAGTCCATGATACCAGCAATTCTTTTATAACAGAAAAAGATAACATGTAAGAATTGAATTAATTTTCTTTTGCACAAGGATCGTTCACAGGATAAGGAACATCTTTCACTTTAAATTACTAATCTGAATGCAGACTCAGGCCAACAATAATTGAAAATGATGTGAGAAGAATTTCAACATTGTAATAACAGAGAATGTTTAAGGCATAAAAGAACAATTAAATTCAGGAATTATGGCTCAGTTCATAAACTGATATTCTAAGAAAATATCATACCATAAGACCATAATAATAACTTTCCACAATACATTTTATCCTGACTTGAATATGTACCTAAACCCTTCTTGGATAAGGCATGAGGTCCAGAATATAATTTCATAAGCTAAATTCTACAAACATATAGAGCAGAGAAGATTAAAGCATTCACAAATAATTAACCTTGAAATAATATGGGTAGAAAGGACATTACTACCTTACTTGTAAAGCACCAACAGTTAGTAAAATTTTATTGAATAACAGCTTTTTCTTTAGCGCAATTCTGCTCTTTATTATCTAGAATGACTAGGCAAAATAGGTTAGTTTTGTTTTGCATACATGATATTTACTGCATGATAATTCAACACACTCTAGAGTCAATCACAATATTTTTATCAGAGAGTGAACTCTCCATCCTCTCAGGAATGTCACCTCATATCAAACTGTATATGTGAGTTACTGTCACAACTACTGGACTTCAAAATACATATACACTCAAGAGCTTAACAGACACTTTGGGAGCTTAGGCTGTGGCAGGGCTACTCTCTGTCAGCGGCTTCTCCAAAACCAGAGAGCTCAGGCTGCAAAAGACCTCAAAGCTTTTACACTTTGCAGGCCAGCACTTTCAAGCAATGAGGGGCCTTACTTGTGGTCTCGGATCTCAGCTATGGTGGTCTAATCAGTTTCTCCCAAGAACTGCTCATATAAAGGTACACTTCCACTTTTAGCCTTCACTTGAACACAAAGGCCTCCTTTCATCATAATTGAGCAAAGACACTTTAATAGCTTTGGAACACACTCACAATGTGGTTAATGTACCTCATCCATTGAGTGTATTCCCTGTGAAGTCTGTCCATGTTACTCTCCCCATCTTTAAGTACTGTTAAGTCAAGAAAAAATTCTCTTTGTATGGCAATAAACACTGTGATTCATGAAATCATACGTTGATCATCTTATTTCTACCATATGTAACAAAAATCCAAGTACAAACATGCACATTTATAGAGGGAGATATAAATTAGGTGTGGAATGAGAAAACTGGAGACTATTTAGACAAAAACCATCCATTTAAGTAACATTTATTGAGTGCCTACTATGTAACAGATTCTATGCGAGGCACAGAGGACACAACAAGGAACAAATCATGCAAAAATTCACAGCTTCATGATGCTTACATTCATTTCAGTAAGTATTAGACATCTTACTATTTTCAATAGCCATTAGACATCTTAACTCTCTTGAATGCTTAGCCATCTATCTCAGAAACTTCTAGGTTTTGAGCAGTTAAAAGTAATAAGTAATTTTATATTCAATTTAAAATTAATGTCAAAATTCAAAGTTGAAAATAGAAATGATAAAAGAGAAGGCTGATAGATTGAAAACAGCTATTAGCAAATAAATTTTTTTAAAAAGTGGGGAGGGAAACTAAGGCCCAAAGAGGTGAAGTGCCTTCCCAAGGATATAGCTACTTAGCAGAAAGTCAGGCTACAGTTCACATCTTCTAGGTCTGTTCCAGAAACTTTTCATTGTGTCATAGAATCTATTGGGGTGGGGGGGAACTATAATGAAAAGCCTAAATAATAAGGAAAACCTCTCTTAATATCTACTTATTGTTTTATAGAACTGTCAACCAAAACGGAAGAAATTTAAGCAAAGTGGAGACTCCATCAAATTTTAGAAAATACTTCTGCTAAAGGCACTCTGCATTAGACTCTAAAGATGCACTTAATGAGCTAATAGATACTCTGTCTTCTCTAATATCTGAAATTCCCGGAATACTTTTATTCAAAGGCCTATTTAATATGAACTGGTGGTTATAGTTCATATCCTAGCACAAAAACACTCTCAACACAATACCACTATCTCAATTTGTATTTTCTGCCTGACTCCAAAGAAAGGCTAGCACATTAGCTAATAGGCTTAACTACATTATCATGCCCCCAGCAGGTAAAGGAAAATGGTTAAGGTGCTAGGAGTTTTCACACAAAAGGCAACATGAAGGTGTATGCTTCCAGTAGGCTGCTTGTCACAAGGAATCCAATACTAGCTCTCTTGAACTGTTAGCCATCTATCTTGGATGCTTCTAAGCTTTAAGCAGTTAAAAATAATAAGTAATTTTATATTCAATTTAAAATTAATGTCAAAATTCAAAGCTGAAAACAGAAATGGTAAGAGAAGGCTGATAGATTTAAAGATTCATTTCTCACCACATGATCACGACACTTATTCACCTTAATGTCAAACAGGTATACCATTCGATTCATTTCCTAAAAAAACCTTTCCAACTCTACGAACACCCATTGTCGAATCTGGATCATAATCATAATGACATCTTAACTTTATTAAAATGACTATGAAGATAAAAATCAAGAAGGACTTGATACTTACACCACTGGAAAGGAACTGAGCATACTTTACATGAGGCGGATCAATATCCTTTCCAGAGATGATCTGCGTTATCTACCATTCTGTAGAACAAAGATAGAAAATTGAGAAATATTTATGTTAATCAAGTGTTGAATAAAAATTTTAATTATATAACTTATGGATATCAAGAGTTAACACTAGCTAATCATGTTAAATACTATGTCTTCTGATTTGCATTCTACTGCTTTATTCACCATACAGTTTGATACCTTTCAATTCAGACACAGATCTTCACAAAAAATGGTATTTACTATTCATTGTTTAGAAGCTAAAGATCATGAAGACAACTTATTAGCTGGTTAAAACCATAGCCATAGAGGCACCGATTTCCATTAACTCTAAGTTAAGATTATAAATTAGACAAAAGTTAAAAATGTTGATGTCAAAAACTCTCACATTAAAATACACATTCAGTACTGAATTACATTATGCATGGCCGAAGTGTCCAACAATGACTAATGATATATGCAAAATGTACAAGGTAAAGTTAGAAACCTTTCACATTTGTATGTTCTAAATTGTAGCATTAATGAAGATCCTGTTGTAGATAATTTTCTTGCTGACTTAAAAGACAGGCCCAGGCGCGGTGGCTCACACCTGTAATCCCAGCACTTTGGGAGGCCAAGGCGGGTGGATCATCTGAGGTCAGGAGTTCGAGACCAGCCTGACCAACATGGCGAAACCCCAACTGTACTAAAAATACAAAATTTTCCAGGCGTGCTGGCACATGTCTGTAATCCCAGCTACTTGGGAAGCTGAGGCAGGAGAATCATTTGAACCTGGGAGGCGGAGGTTGCAGTGAACTGAGATCGCACCATTACACTCTAGCCTGGGCTACAGAGCGAAACTCCATCTTGGGCTAGGGGGGTGAATCTGTCCTAAAAAAGTAGATATAAAGTACAAAATGAAACTACTGAAATTGTTCCTCATTGTAGTTCCTAGGCAAAATAGCAAACCAAAGACACAAAAATGATTACTGGCAAAACACATTTTTCACTATCTGCTCAAATTCAGTTAAAACATATGAAGCACCTGCTTGCCCTGGCATAGACACAAGAACCAAAATATGAGTAAGATATGGTCCCAACAGTAGAGGAGCTTAGGAGCTCATTAAATGGCAGAAGGTGGGGAGAATAGAAACTAGGGACAAAAATTATAGACACGCCTCTCTCGAATAAAAAGTATAACATTAAAAAAAGACTAAAAATAAAACGTTTATATGAATAACAATCCAGAAACTAATTTAGGTTAGAGAGAACTAGGAAGATTTCTTAGAGTGAAATCTGGCTGTTATTTGAGGATTAGAATAAGACTTCCACAACATCAAGGCATAGAGGGAGGTGAGAATCATTGGAGGAAAGATTCCAGGAAGAGGGAACAGTGAAAAGAAATTATGAGATTTATTTAGGTAATCAGTAGGCTTGTGTTGCTGGCCTTTAACACAGTATGTGTGAGGAGTAGATGATCTGGAAGGGGATCCTGGCCTTTATTCTGTAATCATGAGAACCATGCAGCATGTTTACATGTAGCATGTTTAGCATGTAGCATGTTTAGCATGTAGCATGCACCATGAAAATAGAATAAAGGTCAGGATCCCCTTCTAGAGGGGATCTTTTGATAACTTCCATGCTAGGAAGTTATCATCAAAGACCCTGATTTAACAGACAAGAAAACAGATTAAGTCACTGATACAAATTTATGTAACCATAAGACACTGAATTTTGTCAGTTATATTCAGACATAAATGGGCTTAAAATATTCTACAAAAACAAAATGTTCTAAAAACAGAGGACCAAGCAAACAAGATGTTATGAATTCTCTCAATTTCACAAAGCTCTTCTGGCAGAGGAGACAGATTTTTTTTTTCTAATTGACAGATGTTTTGAAGTTATTTTAAAAATAGATTAAGAACTAAATAAAAATGGGTATTAAGATCACATCCACACTGAGTGCAATGGCTCACACCTGTAATCACAGCTACTTAGGAGGTTGAGGCAGGAGGATCGCTTGAGGCCAGGAGTTCAAGGCTAGTTTGGGCAACACAGTGAGTCCTCTGTCTCAAAAAAAAAAAAAAAAAAAAAGAAAAGAAACAAAAAAACAAAATACAATCACACCCATTTGAATGCCTATTATTTAAAAAATAAACATAAAACAACAAGTGTGGCAATGATGTGGAGAAAATGGAATCCTTGTATGTTACTGGCTGAAATGCAAAATGGTGAAGTCACTACGGAAAACAGTATGTCAGTTCCTCAAAAAACTAAATACAGAATTACCATATGATCCAGCGATTCCACTTTTGGATATCTATCCAAAAGAAGTGGAATCAGGCTGTGTTCACAGCAGCATTATTCACGAAAGCCAAAGGTGGAAATAACCCAAATGTCCACTGGCAGATAAATGGATAAATGAAATGTGATATATATATAAACAACAGAATATTGTCTCAGCCTTTAAAAGGAAGGAAGTTCTGACACAAAAACATGAATGAACCTTGAAGACATTATGCTAAATCTAACAACCCAATTATGCTAACAACCCAATCACAAAAGGTCAAATATTATATGATTCCATTTACATGAGGTACCTAGAGAGTCAAATTCAGAGAGACAGAAAGTAGAATGGCCGGTAAAATGGGCAAGGAATAATGAGAAGTTATTACTTAAGGGTACAGAGTTTCAATCTGTGAGGATGAAAATGTTCTGGAAATGGATGGTGGTGACTGCTGTATACTGTATGTATTTAATGACACTGAACTCTATAAGTTAAAATGGTAGATTTTACGTTATGCATATTTCAACACAATAAAAAAGTAGAACATTATAATAAAAACCTTATATTAAAAGGCATTAGGGATATAAATTTATGGATGCTGGATCACACTCAAGCACCTGGTCATAGAAAACAAGCAACCTATAAAAGAAAAAGAGAGGCCGGGCGTGGTGGCTCATGCCTGTAATCCTAGCACTTTGGGAGGCCAAGGTAGACAGATCATGAGGTCAAGAGATTAAGGCCATCCTGGCCAACATGGTGAAACCCTGTCTCTACTAAAAACACAAAAATTAGTTGGGCGTGGTGGCATGCACCTGTAGTCCCAGCTACTCAGGAGGCTGAAGCAGGAGAATCGCTTGAACCTGGGAGGTAGAGGTTGCAGTGAGCCAAGATCATGCCACTGCACTCCAGCCTGGCGACAGAGCAAGACTTGGTCTCAAAAAAAAAAAAAAAGAAAAGAAAAGAAAAGGGGGCGGAGCAAGATGGCCGAATAGGAACAGCTCCAGTCTCCAACTCCCAGCGCGAGCGACACAGAAGACCGGCGATTTCTGCATTTTCAACTGAGGTACTGGGTTCATCTCACTGGGGAGTGCCAGACGATCGGTGCTGGTCAGCTGCTGCAGCCCGACCAGTGAGAGCTGAAGCAGGGCGAGGCATTGCCTCACCTGGAAAGCGCAAGGGGGAAGGGAATCCCTTTTCCTAGCCAGGGGAACTGAGACACACAACACCTGGAAAATCGGGTAACTCCCACCCCAATACTGCGCTTTAAGCAGACAGGCACACCAGGAGATCATATCCCACACCTGGCCGGGAGTGTCCCACACCCACGGAGCCTCCCTCATTGCTAGCACAGCAGTCTGTGATCTACCGGCAAGGCAGCAGCGAGGCTGGGGGAGGGGCGCCCGCCATTGCTGAGGCTTAAGTAGGTAAACAAAGCTGCTGGGAAGCTCGAACTGGGTGGAGCTCACAGCAGCTCAAGGAAACCTGCCTGTCTCTGTAGACTCCACCTCTGGGGACAGGGCACAGTAAATAATAACAAACGCAGCAGCTCTGCAGACGCAAACGACTCTGTCTGACAGCTTTGAAGAGAGCAGTGGATCTCCCAACACGGAGGTTGAGATCTGAGAAGGGACAGACTCCCTGCTCAAGTGGGTCCCTGACCCCTGAGTAGCCTAACTGGGAGACATCCCCCACTAGGGGCAGTCTGACACCCCACACCTCACAGGGTGGAGTACACCCCTGAGAGGAAGATTCCAAAGCAAGAATCAGACAGGTACACTCGCTGTTCAGAAATATTCTATCTTCTGCAGCCTCTGCTGCTGATACCCAGGCAAACAGGGTCTGGAGTGGACCTCAAGCAATCTCCTACAGCTACAACCTACAGCTGAGGATCCTGACTGTTAGAAGGAAAGCTATCAAACAGGAAGGACACCTACACCAAAACCCTATCAGTACATCACCATCATCAAAGACCAGAGGCAGATAAAACCACAAAGATGGGGAAAAAGCAGGGCAGAAAAGCTGGAAATTCAAAAAATAAGAGCGCATCTCCCCCGGCAAAGGAGCGCAGCTCATCGCCAGCAACGGATCAAAGCTGGACGGAGAATGACTTCGACGAGATGAGAGAAGAAGACTTCAGTCCATCAAATTTCTCAGAGCTAAAGGAGGAATTACGTACCCAGCGCAAAGAAACTAAAAATCTTGAAAAAAAAGTGGAAGAATTGATGGCTAGAGTAATTAATGCAGAGAAGCTCACAAACGAAATGAAAGAGACGAAAACCATGGCACGAGAAATACATGACAAATGCACAAGCTTCAGTAACCGTCTCGATCAACTGGAAGAAAGAATGTCAGCGATGGAGGATCAAATGAATGAAATGAAGCGAGAAGAGAAACCAAAAGAAAAAAGAAAAAGAAATGAACAAAGCCTGCAAGAAGTATGGGATTATGTAAAAAGACCAAATCTACGTCTGATTGGGGTGCCTGAAAGTGACGGGGAAAATGGAACCAAGTTGGAAAACACTCTTCGGGATATCATCCAGGAGAACTTCCCCAACCTAGTAGGGCAGGCCAACATTCAAATCCAGGAAATACAGAGAACGCCACAAAGCTACTCCTCGAGAAGAGCAACTCCAAGACACATAATTGCCAGATTCACCAAAGTTGAAATGAAGGAAAAAATCTTAAGGGCAGCCAGAGAGAAAGGTCGGGTTACCCACAAAGGGAAGCCCATCAGACTAACAGCAGATCTCTCGGCAGAAACTCTTCA